TCCCCCACATCCGTGCCATGACCCGCTCTGCCTTCCCCCACTTCCGCAATATTGCCCGACTCTGACACTGCTCACCCCTTAGGCTACTGAAACCTTCTTACATGCCTACATTACATCCAGGCTTGACTATGCCAATGCCCTGCTTGTTGGTCTTCCTAACTCTTCCCTCAACAAGCTGCAGATCATCCAGAACTCTGCAACTTGTGTCCTCTCCCACATCAGGCTCTGTGACCCCATCACTCTCACCCTCACCCGGCTCCACTGGCTCCCCGTCCCTCAGAGGATCGAGTTCAAAATCCTCGTCCTCACCTTCAAGGGCCTTCATGGCCTTGCCCCTTCCTACCTCTCTGACCTGCTAAACCCTTATCAATCTGTCCGCGCTCTCCGCTCAGCAGGCTCCGGCCTGCTCCATGTACCCCGCCTGGCCTGCCCCACCATCGACGGTCAGGCCTCCCTTGCTTCCTTCAATGCATCCCTCAAGACCCTCCCTTTCAACCATACCTTTGACCACCCGCCTACCTCTGCCCTCCACCCTCCCTGATTCCAACCCCCACCCGCTCGGGTCCTAATCCCTGACTGTTCAGCACCTTGGGATGTTCTTCCAATGTGAAAGGTGCTTTATAAATATAATTTTGTATTGTATCTTATGATATCACATCTTATAACTCATGTTATGTTTCGCCTACAAATACCCAATCACTGCACTTCACAGTAAAATCCTGTGAAATGTTTCGATAATATAATAAAATGGTATATAAATGCAAGGATTATTATTATTATTGTAGGCTTTCCTCTGCTAGTATAAATATGATTACTGGGTATATTTTCTCCAGTAAAATTCATAGATGTAAACAGGAATAAAATGTACTTTCCTAGATAAATTATCATTCCAAAAAATATTGCAGATTTTGGTGGAAGATATGTGCAAATTAAATACTACTTCAACTTTTTTAATATTGGAACAAGGTCAGTAACCAAATCTGTGAAAGTGTTAACATTTATTCACCCTGAAAACAAGTCAAATAGGTCACCCTGAAGAGAACAACATTGTTGCGATTCATGTTATTCGTCTGGACATTCCCGCTGAGCAGAGCTCCAAATAGTGATGTTGACATAATTGTGTAATTCCTTTCTATGTGATCAGACATTGATTGAAAGATATGCTGATACAGTTCATGTGTATCTTAGATTCATAATAGATGTGAGAGGTAGCAATACCTCCTGAAGGATATATTGAAGGTGGATAGGTCACAATTTGCATCATCAAAGTATACTGGATCCATTTGATTTGGAATAATGATAATAATCCTTGCATTTGATACAGTGAGGAAAAGAGAAGCTAAAACTGGGCCTATACCTGGACCTTGAATGTCTATTATTATTATAATAATAATAATCCTTGTATTTGTTACAGCACCTTTTGTGTTGTCGAGATGTCTCAAAGCATTTCACAGGAATGACAAACCATTTCACAGGATATACAGCAACAACAAAATTACATTTGTAAAGCACCTTTCACATCGGGAGGACGTCCCAAGGAGCTGGACAGACAGAGTTATGGACTCAAGCTGGGAGTCGGGGTCGGGGAGGGTGGAGGGCAGGGGGGAAGCAGGGAGATCGAAAGCATGGTCGAAGAGGAGGGTCTTGAGATGGATCTTGAAGGTGGCAAGGAAGGGTGCGAGGTGTAGGCACTGCGGGATGGAGTTCCAGAGGGTGGGAGCAGAGTTGTGGAAGGCCCGCCCGCCAATAGTGGTGCGAACAAGGCGGGAGACGTGAAGTAGGCCTGAGCCCGCTGAGCGGAGGCAGCGAGCAGGATGGTAGGGGGTTAGGAGGTTGCAGAGATAGAGGGGGAACAAGACCTTGGAGGACTTTGAAGGTGAGGATCAAGATCTTGAACTTTATCCTCTGTGTGATGGGAAGCCAATGGAGTTGGGCAAGAATGGGGGGGATAGGGTCGCAGAGCATAGTGCGAGAGAGGACACAGGCTGCAGAGTTCTGGATGATCTGCAGCCTGTGGAGGGAGAAGTTGGGGAGGCCGACAAGCAATGAGTTTGCCTAGTCGAACCTCGATGTAATGAAAGAATGTATGAGGGTTTCGGCGGCCTGCGGTGTATACTGTAAAGTGGGTTGACTGTGTATTTTGTGAGCGAACCACGGAAGCTAGTTGCACACAGCAATGTCCACAAACAACCATGGAGTGAGTGACTAATTTTATCTGAGGGATTGTTGGCCAGCACACCAGGAGAAACAATAACACAGGTGAGGTACTGTAACTTAAAACCAATCATGACTCTTATTGAATTGTTTAGTGACGTGAAAAGACTTGGAAAGTTGGGATTGTATTTGCTGGAGCAGAGAAGATTAGGGGATAAATCTGAGATTTTCCAAAATGTTGCAAGGTTTTGATACGATAAATGAGGAAGGTCCTGACCCAACTGTCCAGCACCTTGGGACGTCCTCCCGACTTGAAAGGTGCTCTATAAATGAAATCTTGTTGTTGTTGTCTATTGGCACTGATTTTCGAGCCAATAACAAGAAGGCATAAATTGAACATTATCAGCAGAAAGGGGGAGGCCAGAAGAATTGTTTTTATACAAGGGTTGTTAGAATGTGGAATGCCTAATCACAAATTGTGGTTACAGCTGATTCCCTATCAGATAAATGCTTGAGGAAATGTAAAGAATGTGAGGAAAGAGCAGGGGAATCGTATTTGAGGAGATAGGCCCTGTGGGGCATCTAGCACTAGAACAGATGCAATGGTCTTCTTCGTTGCTGCAAACTTCTGTGATTCTACAAACACTGAAGCAAAGATTACTTTAACTTCTAGAGGACAGTTCCCAACAGTGTCTACAGCCAATGTTCATTTTCCCATGTAAATTTGTTCAATTGCTTCAATCCTAGTTTATAGTCAACATCCACATAAATAACAAGATACAATGACTCAGAATCCTATGCTTTGTACTTCACTGTCATTATTCACAGGATCATAACTGGTATGGCAACACCACATAAGGTGTGTCAGCCTGGTTCATTCTGGCCTCTGAGTGAGAAGATTGTGGCTTCAAGCCCCATGCCAGGACTTGGAATCACACAGTCTAAGCTGATACTTCAATGCAGTGCTGGGGGTTGTTGCATTGTTGGATTTGTTGTCCTTCAGATGAGATGTTAAACCGTGTCCCATTTGCCTATTCAGGAGGACATTAAAGATCCCATGCCACTATTCAAAAAGAGAAAGGGTTTTTTCCCAGTGTTATGGCCAATAATCACCCCAAAATAAAATTGGTCACTCACTCCATGGCTGTTTGTGAGACACTGGAAGCGCCCTTTGAGACATCTCACTAATGTGATAATGTACTATATCAAATGCAAGGATTATTATTATTATAATGGTGCTCAATGGAATTGATGTAGATCCAGTTTTAGTTTCTCTTTTCCTCTCATGGCATTAACACTGTATCATGCATTCATTAAGGCTCATGGGCACTATTCATGACTTACATTTGCTCCCAATAAAAACATTTATTGAAAACATCAAAGAAATGCTCTTCATAAGTGGCACTGGTTGAATCAGTATCACATAATGTATTTTTGATACTTTTAACCTGATGGTAAAAGACACAGTTTTTGCAAAGGCAAGGTTAGCAAAATTATTCTTCCATTTTCCTTCTTATTGCATGTTTTCCTTTTGATAGGCTGGGGCTCAAAGGTTATTTTTATCCATACCACTCACAATTGTCTGGTTTAGCTGTGTTTACATTGATTCCCATAGGGAAGAGGGGGTGAGGGTCAGAATGCAACTCCTGCTAAATCCCAATATATGCCCGTGGGCAAAATTGCTACCACTTAGTAAGTGGAAGGATTCCTCATGCTTAATTTTTTCGTCTTAGTCCCTGAGTCACCTCTTGCTAGACGCACCAAGAATCTTCCGCAGGTTTTCACTTGTGACTTGGCTGTCTTGGCAGCTCTACAAAATTATAGCTGCTGGACCAAGGTTCATTGTCAGCAGGAAAGTCATAAAGGTCAGGGATAGCTTACCAGGATAAAACGTTACATGAAAAGTATTGCAAAAGGAACAGCATTAACTGCAGCACAGAAGCAAGTGGTCTGGTGAAGCAATATCAAAATGGAGTAAACAGGGTTCACATTTGCATATCAATTTGTTTTATTTAAAGTACACCAATGGTAACATTTTAGCCAAAAGAAACAGAAGTCCAACATTTCTAATGCTCTTAGCCTTAAGGTCATTGTCTTGAAATTCAACATTGTGCAGATCTTGTTAGGAATTGCAGAAAATCAGCCTCAAATTAAGACTGAAATTTTAAAATTTTAAAAATTCCAAAATATTCTGCAGTCTAAAATTATAAAACAGTGGTCTTGAGGCTAAAATCATGATGCTTTTGGACTTCAAATTTCAGTGATTTATGAAATAAGCAAAATAATCAAAAAGCAGTAAAATAAATGCAACCTCTTTCAATAAATTAAGGTCTGAAATTTCACTTAGTCCGAGCAAAATAATTTTGTCTTAAATTTAGGATTGTGGAGAATCATGTATCATTCTGAAATTCAATCTTAATTTGGAAGACATCTATTCCTCAGTTATTAAGGCTTTCAACTTCAGACTGAATTTACAAATTTCCACAATTCTGCACACTCTTAAAGTTTCAAGAAAAAATGTCAGGCCACACAATGGAAAGGTTTGAGATGATTCTATCCCACTTGCAAGGTGAATTGATCTGAACTTCATGGCAAAGTCTTTCCTACACCTTTAAGCATTGACAATGTCTTGCTCCTCTGACTTCACCTTGGATCCTCAATAAAAAAAGGGCAAATGACTTGTTCTCTGGCCGAAGATTATCGCTTTCAGGTCAATAACCTCCTCGCAGAAAACTAATCCGTTATTTTGCACTATCAAGACTTCCTAGTATCAAGAACATATTTTTTTATGAAAACAAATTCTATACTTTCAATTTCAGTACATATATCAAAAGAACAGTACTTACCCATACTTAAATAATAAAATGGAAAAGCAGCTAAATTTGTAGAATACTGTGGTAATATGTACAGTCCTCCTGGCGGTTTATTCCAAATGAAAGTATTTCTTGCTATATGGGAATATATCCTATCGTGTATAATCTATAAAAGAAAAAAAATGACATGTTACATGATTTAATCTCTACAGCACATCATAATAATAATCTTGCACAGATTTATAGCTTTGTACATTCTAAATTGAATGCTGCCCATTTCTATTTTGTACTTATGAGAAGGTTAGAGGAAGGAAGGAAGAAGAAAGGATTTGCATTTTTATTGCACCTTTTTCATGTAAAAATGTCTCAAAGCATTTGACAAGGGGCTACTGTTAAGTGTATCAACTATGTTAAAGGCAAACATGGCAGCTATTTTGTGCCAGCAAAGTCCCACAAACAGGCATGACGTGAATAATCAATTTATCTGGAGATCTGTTGGTCAGAACACCAGGAAAAAATCCCTTTTCTATTCAAAGTGGTATAGGATCTTTAACAGCTAAACTGCTCTCAACATTCTTGCAAATGCTGTTTTTAAACCTGTTTGAAATCAGTTTGTCCCTTCCATCCACTCACACTGTTTAACACAATCGCGCTACTTTACAATATATCCTGTGAAGCGCTTTGAGATTCATCCACAATGTAATAAGGTGTTAGAGCAAAATCGAAGGATTATTATTATGGAGATCTTTTCTGCCATTGATCTCACCAGAGGCTGAAAGTCATCGTGGATTTAACCCTAAGACAAATGTCTTAAAATTTAAGGCTGCGCAGAATTTCAAAAAATGCTTAGATTTAGTGTTTGTTTGGAAGCCAGTTTTCCACAGTTCTTTTTAACATCTTTCATTTTAAGACAATCGTATTAATGTTAAGCCAATAAGATAATTTCAGGTGTCAGGAGCGGCCTAATACAGAGTGAAATTTTGCTGAGGGAAATATTTTCTTCTTTAAACTAAAAGAGCACTTAACTAAAAAAAATCAAAAGAATTGATGATGAAAGTCAAGTGGTGGAAACGCGCTTTGATTTTATTATGAATTTGAATAGAAAGCTTTGAAATATCTCAAGATAAAAGATATTGTACATTTCGTTTGGGTGACTTCAAATGGAGCTTGTGTGAATTAATTATAGTATTTTGATGTTGGCATGTTATTTGCCTAAGGAACAGATCAGTCATGGAAAATGGAGTGCGTTTTCAACCAATATGAAGCAAGTTGACTTCAATATACTGAATTTTTTTTTAAAAAAATGTGCTTCAAGCAATTCCGTTTTACCTAATTTTTTTTAAATTCAGAAACATTTGAAAAGCATTCTTCCCTGAGGTCTAAACAGAACAAATCATTGTGGCAGAAGTCATACGGTTATCTTTTCTTCACTAGCAGCATTATCTTGGCTAGGACATCAATTAGTGTATTCAGGAATGGATGGGCTAGAACCCAGGGACATTATGGGATTAGATAATCTTTCAACATTGAATGTTGCATATAATCTTCTTGTCATGCACTAAATCCTATCAACTGTAACAAGGGAAGTAGTATGAAGTGGTATATTATTATTTGTCAATTCAAGCCAAACTTAAATTTGTTTCATTTACTGTTCTACTGCTTCGATACAGTGATTTTTGGAGGGCCTTTTTGGAAAGCATTATGAAGTATATAAAGCAAAATTAAAAATGGCCACCGAGTGTATATTTTGAAAATATTCATTCCACACCTTGCTCAAAAGTATTTTAGAATGACATCTGCAGATATAAATTTCCTTTTAACATTTTAATATTTTTGATAGAGTCCCATGATATTTAAACTTACTTCAGGGAAATTCTGGAAGGCTAAAAAGAAATGGGTTGAAGACCTTCTTCACCCGAACTCTCTCTGCTATCTATTTATTAAGATGGTTCACAAAACCATATCCAAAATACAAGGAGTGTCTAAAAATACACTGAAAATACTAACATATATATATTTAATTGTTGCTTTTCTGGTAGAAAATCATATGGAAAATGTCTTGTATAGGACAAAACATAATGCAATGTAACAACAGATGTATTGTATGAGAATTGAACATTAACCTGCAAAGCGCAATTGATTATAACTTGCTGTTTGCTGATTCTATCCATTTGTTAGATGTAAAGGCCACATGACATAACCTTTGATGTACAGATAGTCTGCCTTGAGTTCACATTGAGCTACTGGGTAAATCAATATTTTAACTCATTGGTCAGCTTGCAAAATCAAAAATTCTCCAAATTCAGTCGACTGCATTTGTTTCAAGTGTTTGCAAGTCTTGGGAACCGGTCACTCATTGGATAATTGTACATTATATGACAAACTGTAGAGTGGAAGCAAATCATTGCCTTAAGAAAAAGTAATATTTTCAAGTAAATCTAAAAGCGTATTTTATCAAACCCTCATGATCCAAGATAAACACATATTTCTATTTTGTAAATCAATTAGGTGCTTCAGAAGCATATGTTGAAAAAGCACAACTGTTGAAACAAACTGAACACATGGTTCATATATACTCTTATCCCTACAATGCAGAAAAGCTAGAGTCCTCAATGTTAATATAATGACTGACTATATGACATTTATTTATTGCTCAATGTGAGCAGTAAAAATAGATTACAAAATATAGGCAAACCTTTCACAGCTTTGTAAAATACTGATTACAAATGGCATCCATAATTGATATGTTTAAAGGATTCATTAAGCATATAAATTATAGATATCATTTACAATTGAAACTAATGCCATAATAATAATGAAAATCTTATAAATAGAAACACTTACCTCTAAAGTCGTTAATACTATTTTTTCTGCCGAAGAAAAATAAGCGTCCCAAAGGAACTGTGTTTGTTGCTTAAGTGCCAGTATTTTGTCATGGTCTATAGATCTAGTTATTGACGGGATCTGGAAACCAAAGAGAAAAAGAGAAATAAATGAACACTGAAAGAATATGTTTTATTCTAGGCTGATAGAATTACCATAACTCAGTATGTTTATGGGTATCATATGAGTGAAGGGCTCTCTGGAAGCATGGACCAATTGGGCTATTTCATGCTGATCCATTGATTCCTAACAATAGAGATTTACCTAGTCTAGAGATCTACCTGTCACCAAATATAGAGATCTAGTCTAGTGGTAAGCGCGCTCACCTCACAAGTGAAAGGACGCAGGCTGGATTCTGGGGCAGGGCGAAGCCTTAGGCAAGTTTCCTTATTCCACACACCTCTGTTTACCTAGCAGTGAGTAGGATTCTGGTTGTTAGTTGATTGGCAGATTGTTTTCCGAGAGTAATAATCCCGCAATATAAAATTGGGTCACTCACGCCATAACTGATTGTAGTATACTGCTGTGCGCAATTGGATGCCGTGTTTCGCTTACAAAACGCACAGTCAATCCATTTTGCAATGTATTCTGTGGGGCATTTTGACACGTCTCAATGACATGCTAAGGCACTATATCAAATGCAAGGATTATTATTATGTTATTATTATTCATTCTGGAATACCGTACAGATGAAGTATTGTTTGGATTTTCATCCTAAAATGAAAGTACACATATCTTTCAGAATTATAGAATACTTTGACTCATTGTATCTGTGCTGGAGCTATCTGTTCCAGCCCTTTCTCCTGATTCTGACTTTTCCCTAATCTTTTGCCTACTCTAGTTGCATCAATCTATTGAATACTCGCATGTGTAGGTGGTTGATTTTTGCAAGATTTCAGATAATGTTTAAAAATAGTACCACTGTTGACATTTTAGAAAATTTCAAAGCTGTTACTTTAAAGCCATAATAATAAGGATCCCTCTTGATCAATCTTGGTATTGGTCAATCAATCAGTCCTCTTGGTCAACCGACCGTGATATTTCAGTCTCAAAAAAACACTTGTTTATGCTGTACCTAATAAGGTGGGTTAATTTTGCTGTTTTTAATACCTAAGTCAAGTCAGATGTAAAGCTTAGAATTTCAATGTCTTAAAATTCATTTCAATTTCAGATGAATAACCATATTGCATCACAAGGAGATCTCCTATTTTGCCCGTCTCTCTGGCCTCTCAAGTGCCATTGTTGCATTAGGTGGTGAATGAAGTACAGTAAGTGTAAACCTGGCTGTTTGTGGTGAAGGGCTATGCATGCCAACAGGTAAAACTGTCAGTATGATAAGGATTTGTACCCAGAGGTCCACCTGGTGAATTCATAATCTTTGTCCAGCATATCAAGGGATACATATGTTACTTGGGGAAACTGAACAAAGTGGCAGGGGAGGAAAGAGCATCAAATTCATTGTTTGTTTGATAAGCTGGGTACCTGAAATATGCAGAAATCCTTTATTAGAGAACATCCAAACTAAGTTACTGAGAGTTTCATGTATACTGTATATGGTTGTCTTGTATGAATTGTGCACTCTTTCCCTGAAAGGACACAGCTGGTTCGATCGAGAGTTTAAGCCGAGGTTGGCAAGAGCCAAGGTAGAGAACTGTTTGAGGCTAAAACTGATTTGGGCAATAGTGATAATATTATCCAGGCAGTAGTGTCTTAGTCGACTATAGATCCTCCTAGTATAGGAACCAGACTATCAAGACTACTGCAGTGGATTGACTTAATTTTGATCTTCTACAGTAAAACCCTGACTTAAAGTAAACCCCCGACTCTGGGCATCTGGGATTTGAACCGAACAGGATCAGGCCCGAAGCCACAATGTTTTAAAGAAAAATTCCATGGGCCCCCAACTTCCGTGGGGCAGTCCTGACTCCCAACTCTCCTAGCGCACACCAATACCACATGTAGCAGCCTCACCATTCTTGCTGGCCTTCACAGTGGCCAGGGATATCGACTTTAACTCAAGATTATTTTAAACTGCAAGCAGAAAATACCTTATTCCCTATCTTCTGCTCGCGGGATTCAAACAATTACAATGCTGGTCCTGGCATTTACCTGCATTTTTCAAGAAGACCAGTAAATGGCACTACCAGCATTGTAATTACACTTAGCCGAAAATTCAATCTCTCAAGACACGATCTCCCCCCCTTTAGTCTGCTAGCTACGGTTTTAATGTACTAGTCATCTTGGAGCCAGTACAGTTCAAAGAGACCCCATTTCCTCAGGATCAACACTGAATGCGCTGCAAGATGCTGCCCTGCTAGAAGGGTGGTATATAAATGCAAGTTGTTGTGGTGGAAAAGGAAAGAAAGTCCAATCTTCACTGACTCTTTACTTTTTGTGGTTGGAAATAGCATCGAACTGATAGGATGCCATTTTCACCATTAATATAAAAATACTAATCATTTTATTATCCACTGCTTTAAATTTCACAAACGTCATAGCTGTACCCTTGAGATAAAGCCAAACATTTCACCAATAAACTCTTTGCGGTTGTTACTAGGCAACAATGATCACTTCACAAAGTCTCATTAATAGATTTTCCTACATGTCAACAGCTCTAATTAATGAACCATTGCATGCTACACCAAACAGTTCCTTACTCTATATTTCAACACTTTCACTCGCAACACCTTCATTGTTAATGTTTTTCTCTCCCCCATGCCCCAAAAAACGGATATTAGACACCTCTGTTACATAATTAAAAATTTATTTTTTCCCAAAGCCCCCTAATTTGAACACAACCTGCACATTTCCAACTTCAGCATTCTACTTTCCTCCTCCTTCAACTAGTGCCCTATAGAATAATGCTGCTTATTCAACAAATATCCTGAACGCTAAAGAAACAATTTGGAAAATCAGAAGCTTGCTCATCCCCTTGACATAACCATACAGTCTGTGAAAATATTGCATAAACCTGCAGTGGCCCTTATGTCATTATTGACTTCTCTAATAATGCTTGCATTTAGTATTGCACCTTTACATCAGGAGGATGTTTCAAAGAGCTTCACAGGATATACCGTAGAGTGTAGTGACTGTATATTTTGTAGGTAAATAACACTGGTAGCCAGTGTTTTAGACCATGCATGCATAAACATAACTCTTAATATGCTTCTGTTTCTTAGATGGATCACCAGGGAATGATGTTTGCAGAAGCTGGGAAGCTTTCTCTCCTGCAAGGAGAAAGGGAAATTTGCATGGCATCCATCACCCCTTTGAGGCTGCTTCTAGAGCAATATTGGCAAAGGGCTGCAATAAATATCCCAGCTGTCCTTTTCAACAAGAAAAGGCACGTGGCATGGAAAGATTTCAAAGAAAGGGCATAAAATAAAATAGCCTAACAAGAGGAAAACAATAACAAGATGTATAATTAGAATTCTCAGTGGGTGACTATGAACACTGCACCATGTTTATCCCACTCACGAGGAAGACCTTTAGGTTCTACTCTTGACTTGTCAGACATGAATTATGGAGTAGCCTAAGAAGCTATGTTTATTTTGTTACCCAAGAGTCAGGCATTCTCATTGACTTCCCTTTATTCACAGCACGTAGTCTTGTGTCGAGAAGCAGCTCTTATTCATGGGCTGGTTGCATCCAGATGATCACTCAGAAAATCAGACATTCTCTCTGGCTTAACCAAATAAATGTTTATACATTCTGGGGTATAGAAGGTGCTCTATCTGCATCACTGCTACAAGGCCCTTGGCAAAAGCACTTCCGATGTAATCCGTGTTTTCATCATGGAAATCCCTGTACTTCAAATAGCCCTTTGATACTTTGGCTCAAAATGAATATCACAATGGAACCAAAATCTTGTGAGGTTCTGTGACATATAGGGGTTTCGCTAGAGAAACTGCTGTTTACATCGAAGGCACTGTTGCTGGTGGTCATGCGCTTTTTTAGACCCGATTCTCTGCTTTGTAGAATCCTATACATGGACTTATCATACTTAGTGAACAAATCACAGGGTTTTAGTCCACCATGTACACTTGTGCAGATTAGTTAACCTAACTGCACCTAAGTTTATATACGAGAACTGCTCTAAAAAGAGCCATGGGCTCCTCAGCTCCACCTTTCAAAAAGTCCAAGTGCCTCCCACAGCCTCATCCAAATCGAACTCTGCATCATGATCAACCTAATCCTGGCCAGGCTCCCTAGCCAGAATAAATCGATTTCAAGGCCTTACATGCTGTGTAACAAATCACCTCATACACCTCTCTACTTCTCTAAACCTGCTCACATCCACTCCTCTACCTGCCCGTTTCACTAAGCCGGTGCATGCTTTCTGCTTGTCCCTCGATACCTCTATTCCACCATCGGCAGCCATGCCTTAAACCATTATGTCCCAAACTTATGAAGACCTTTGCCACAATCTTTCCCTCTCTTTACCCATTTTCAAATCTCACCTGAAGACTTTCCTCTTCGACCGGAGTTAGAATCACCTCCCTTTTGTCCCCAGCTCAGTGTAAGCTATGAGCATTGTTATGAAACACTACCCCATATAAAGGGCCTACCCAAATGCAAGATGTTGTTGTTCTGTAGATCTGTGGGTAACCAACTTTTTTGGGGGTGTTTGACACGTGCAGAAACCCATCACCCATTTAAGAGTATCAAAACCAAACTGAGTGCTCCATGAATCCCACCTACACATGGAAATTCCAGGTTTATTTGTTGGAATGGAATGTGCACCGTCTTCCTGGAGGAAAGCCTGCTTATGTAATTCCAGAGAGTATTACGCATAAGTTGGCAAGAGCCAAGGCTTCGGGAAGCCAGTGTGTGTTACTGTACTGCTGGAGTCCAACCTGCTAAAATTGCATAGCTTGCCATTGAAGCACTACCTGGCAAGCTTTCTTGATGCTCGTTCAATTGGGAACACCTTACTTGTCAGGGCTTTGACTTGCAGGGTTAATGGAGCTGAGCGGGAAGAATTGCTGCCCAAGTAACTACTCTGTCCCTCTAAGTCCTGCTGATGAGGCTGTGCTGTCATCAGCAGTACCCTGGAGTTCTGTGGACCCACCTGCCCCAGG